ACTTTTTCGTCCAATACATTTTGGCGTTGCGATGAACATGATCAACCATACTGGAAATCTTTTTGTCTAAGTGCTCAGCTTAGCGATCCAGAAACGCAAACAGTGATGAAGTAATATGTATTGTTGATGCATAGTCAGAGCGATTGCAACCTGTTCGTGTGTATTGACGTGTCCATTCAGCTTCTCGATAGTCAATCGAACAATATCCAAGCATAAAACCACAACTTTGAAATTCAGATCATCCAACACATTGCCAAGTGTTATGAAATATGAGTGAAGATGTGGAACGAATCTGCGAACATCTTCAAACGTGATTCGCTCGATTATTGTTTTTGTCTGGAATGATCATAATAACGTTGGATGCGTTTAGAGCAAATATGGACTACCAGATTCCACTCCTTGTATTATGTTCTCGACCAATCTACGGTTCAACAAATGTATTTCAGTAATGTGTCTACGAAATGCATCGGTCATCTCTCAATCAGATATTAAATTTCAATAATTTTTGAAGGATACTGCATATGGTTGGTTTTTATTCAATCCAATATACAGGTTGATCATTTGAGCTTGACAGGGACTAATTTAGCCACCTGAACATTTCTAGAGAGAAATTATCTCTCCAAGATAATCATGAATGAATTTGATGAAGAACCATCAAACGCTAACAGCGACTGACTGACCTGTTCCAATCCCATGATCCGTGTCACCGCTTCGGTATCATTATTCAACATATTACTCACTAGCACAGGCATAATTCCAAATCGGTTCTTCTTCTCCATTGTCATCGAATCGTTCAAACTACTGCTTGAATTCTTACTTTCACCTGAAACATATGTGAATTCGTTCCAAAGTAGAAGTGCCATGATTGAAATTCGATTATAATCACGATATCAACAGAGTCTCCTCTCTGACTGAGTGAACGTCACTGAGAACCAATACACATCTGATGTGGAGAATTTTGAAAAACTCACTTGCATTCACCTCAGATGGCTTACTGTTGTCGATAATAATGCGCCTGTACTTTTCACAAATCGCTTTCTGGGCGTTCGGTAAACCAGCAATCACTTCTTCGAAACGATCGTATTGCAAATAGACTATAACAACAACCAAATCATTCATATTATTAGTTTCATCGAGGTCGGACTTAACATGTTGAACTTCCAGCGAGAACACGCTTAATATGCATACAAAAACAATCACTGACCATTGACATTCGATAGAACATAGGCAATTTTCTCTTGAAGTTTAGGTTCTGAGGCAAGCATCCATTTTGTTAGACCATCAATAAGTGTAGACCAGGTTTGTGAACGACATTCTGCGATGAGTAAGTTTGGTAATTCGTTCAGGACTTCATTACGAACGGCTGGTTCATTATCTCGATTCAACAGGAAGTTCACCAACATCTTCTGCAATCAATCAAATTTGCTGACAATGAGCAAATGTCTTCTATCTTATCGCAATGATCTGTACAACAAGTGAGCAGCTGAAATTTCGCTTTGCTTTCGGGATAATTTGTAGCAAAATCTTGTGCACGTTATTAGTGAGGCATCATCAATCTGTGGATTGGAAGCGATGCAGTGAAGTGCAATGATCACCTGCACGTTATTGACGGCGTCAGGTTGAAGCCTCAAATAAGTGGTCAACATTTGGTTGGTGATGCGACGTACAGTGATTTTCGAACTTCCAAGTTTCATGATTATTCTTGGAAGAAGATAAGATACACACCATTCCACGTTCTGTAAATATGGAAAAAATCAGTGCAATCTGCACAAATTTTTGCAAACACTCCCAATGGGAAAATGAAAAGAAATTGTTGAAGTATCTGTAAGTGCTGGAGTGTGTGAGAGCGATCGAAAGATTTTTATTCCAGAGACTATTACAACGGCAGCAAAACATTAATGTTCGTGAGAAATACTTTTTTCCGAACTATGAGAAAAACATATTCTCAAAAGGCTCACATTTCCAAACGTTGGCAGAGCATCTAAAATAAACTTTATACATTGATGTTGCACTTCCCAGCGATCATCGACCAGCAATCGATCGAACTGTTTGAACAAATCGCCTTTCTTTGCAAACTTCGGAAACCACAACGGATCTCTCTTGGCTATAGCTGAGAGCCGATTCAACGTCTGAAGTGTGATCAAAGAGCAGAATTATTCCGAACGCTTAATAGGTCGTGTGCTTATTCACGATACGAACAAAGGATGAAACAGTCAAAAAGTGGAATAATTGACAAATGAAATTCTTTACTATGAAATCCAGCACTAAAATCTACGGGATAACCTATGAGATCTGAAACATTTTGAACATTCTCATGACTCCGAAAATGCGAGAGTATTTCGCTGATAGAGTGCGATAAAGGCGATGAAATTGTGACTAACCTGAAGACGCACGTCGAAATCATTGCTTCGGAGCAGTTCGATGATATCGTCATCTCGAGGCAACGAAGTTGGTGTTGGAATACGATCCGAATTTATTGGATTAAGCATTCCTCTTTGCATTTGAACTGGTTTCAGAAAATCCATTTCCAATTCATCTGTGCAACGAATCAATAAATTTCATATGATCTGCTTGTTGATACCATAGCAAAATGCTTACTGAAGAAGTCATCATCAGATATAAATAGGAATGAAAAAAATTGATGTCACTGCGTAAAATCAGACTGATTAAGCATCTCAATGACTTGATAGGTAACCCTCTCATATCACTCATTGGACAGTTTCGAATGACAGAAAAGATTTAGCAATATTCTTGTGATGTTCCACGGCTCTACACTCACCTATCTTTGAGCACAATTTTCAGAGGATCGCTGATAAAATCTTCTGCTTAAAAGCCCACAATTCGAGCCATCATTAATCAGGCTCAGTCTAGACTAAGCTGAGGTGAGATTCATGCTAGGTCTGAATTGATGTCCGTATAGGTTACGCTTATCTGAAGCTCATGTGGCATCTACCACAAGGTAAAGGCTAAATTAGATCGTGAGAGAGGGAACTGCTGTGCGTGTAGCAGTTCTGATGAAATCCGAAGCTTATATGTCGTTGTCTAAGATGTCTTTGTCCGCAGCCCATATGGACAAGGAAATTGCACTTTACTTGTAAGTTTCTAGCTACAGTCGCGCTCATTGCATGCAATCGTTTATAGCTATAATACTTACGATCAATGTTCGTATGCTCTCTATATGTAATTAAATGAAACATGCTCACATTTAGTGCTAGACGAAAACCATTTAATTGGGCATTTATGATGGTTTGTTGATGAGCTTATAAGGCGAATGACGGAAGCATTCAGACGCAGACACCGAAACGATCCTATGACTGGCTGAACGCATAACTTGAAAGTGGAACAGTACCAAATCAGACGAAATTACAAAATTACAGAATTTCGATTACCGCTGTCTTACAAAGAGATTCAGTGAGAAGAAATTAGACAAGGATCACATGAATCACGGAATGAAGTTCAAATGAGTGACTTGGATTGAAAATAGACGGGAAAGGTGATGGCATCAATAGGGAAATATTTTTGGGGTGATTTCGGAACGTGGGTGATGAGCAAGCACAATAAAAATATTGATTGTAAAGTTGAATCCTTATCGTTTGGTCACATAACAAAAACAGATAGCAATCAAGAAAGTAGTGATTAGAAATAATCCAAAACTGTGCAGTTGTTCATCAAGGTGCAAATGCACGTGAACATATTCAAAGCGTTCGCTTAAAGGTTTGCGAAACTTATTTCGAAATCGATAGGAATTAATCACAAATCGGCCGACGAAGTGAGAGTTTTGCAGGTGAAGAGTATGTCTCATTCGAGAAACCGCCCTCACACTGCGCAAAGAATGGCTCTCGACGAGGCAAATGAGTGTGAAATCGGAAACGATTATTCCCTTTTCGTTTCCACAAATCGGTGATCACGATTGAATGCACAACAACGATGAAATGTTACTTGCACGAAAAAAGTGAAAGCTGCGAAAGCAGAAGTAGTCGACCAAATAAATAATGCGCAATGACTCAATATTCATGCAAGAGTAGCCTTAATCTATCATGAGTTACTCGTTTGTTTATATAAAGGGGTTTCAGATAAAGGCCACTGAATTCTAGACCTAATTTCCTTATTGTCTGCAAGCAGTGGTTTGAAATTAGCTTCTAATCACCAATTACACTTTAATCCTAGGACAGCAACCTGCACTCAGAATCAGTTGACCTAGTTCTATTAAAAAATACCCTCGAAATATTGGTGTTTTGCAAGAATGGACGCATGAAAACAACAATATAATTGTTTAACAATTTTTATACGTTCACTAATATAATTGTCAGCAATTACGCTGTCATTGACTGGCTCTAGCGATTCTTCATTTAAATACGGGCTTTATCGCTACGGATAAGCACATTCGTAGAATAAGGTCTAATTGTGACTAGAAAACGAAAAATCTTTGGAGCAAAACCAACAAACGATGAGGTGACGGGGTGTCCATGCTCGAACAAGGCTGCATACGCGTTATACATTTGATTGTGACAAGATTCGATGAGGTCGCAGCAGTTCCGTTGTCAAGGTAACGTACCAACTCTGTGTACTGCTAGTATATGTGCGATTTTGGATGATGCAACAATTTCGTCATGCAACCACATCTAATGATCATTACCAGCTAATATAATGTATTTATTTATGCTCATATTAATAGCCATGCCGTGTTATCGGTCACACACATTTTCGGAATTTCAACCCTTAAACAATTGATTTCCATCTGCAAAACACTGAAGTTGCACTATGCTAAAGCTGTTGTATACGTAATCGCAGAAGTTGCTCAGAATGTTCGATATAATCTAGTGGTGACACGTCAATCTGCTGTATATCTCTTATGAGGTAAACATCACAGGGCAGTTCGTTTGAGAGAAAATAGCAGAAATTTTTATCGTTTAGAAGAACGCACGAAACATGAATTCAAATGATTATACTTTATTGGTTTTCATTGATAATGAATGTAGTACAATATATGAGATGAGTTGAATTCATAGCCATACAATGCATCAAGCAATCGCAAACTATTCTACTGACTAGTTATGATACAGCTCAAAATTTAAACTTCCCCTGGGGACGTATGATATCATTTAGCACATCGATCATCACTGATGAATTTTCATCGTTCATCATGGTTTCATGTGTCCCAGCAATTTCTATCACTCGTCTATTCTCTACTAGTTTCTCCCAACCGTAATCATTTTCAGTGTTTCCTTTGATTTTCAGCAGAAACAACTTGATATCATTGTTCCTTTTTGGATGATAATATTTCAACATCTCAAGTAGTTGCCAAGCATTTTTGATCATCATTTCACGAACTGATTCGCTGATTTCGTTCTCGCTGGTATTGCTTGAATATTTACTCATCACATCATTCATCTGTTTCTCATGTTCTGCAAACGTAATACTTGGTTCTGCATTGAATTGAGCACCACCGTCAATGCTTATCAAATGTTCGACTCGAATGCCTGAAAAATGGATGAAATAAATCGGATGTAATGACTGAGAATTCCGCTTGTGGCAGTTCACTGTCTGTTTGTAATCAGTAACTTATATATGACAATAAAATGGTTTTAATGAACTTGCACCAATCTATATGATTAGTTTTTAGTANNNAATTCATTGATTATAAGACCATAATCTGCATCAGAAATTCACTTATTAATGAACAACGAAGGAAAAAACAATGTCAAACCATTTTGTTTCAGTTGTTTTGCACATTCGAATGCCAGAATTGCTCCCATTGACGCACCGACAAATATGCACTTCTGAGCATTCTGCACGATATCCGACATCTGCTCAACATAAACAGAGCAGAGTCTTTCAATGGAATGCGATAAATTCGCATCTGCTGATGTTTGCGTGAAGGTATTTGGATGTTGCAGACCAAATACAGTTATATCACTGTTGAACGCCGCATTAAGTCTCCTAATTAATGATGCATAAGGAAGAAGAATGCCACCGATTAAAGGATGGAAAAGCACGATTAATTTATCGATTCGATCCGTATTACCGTTGATCTTAACGATAGTCCTATAATTATCAGCTGTTTTAGCTGTAGATACGTTCGCTTGTTTTTGGCTCAATAAACTGAACATCTGCATGAATTCAGCATTCTCAAAAATTTCATCCACCTCCACAGATGTATTCAGTTGTTTCTGAATCATTCGTTTCAATTTGAGACATAGAAAGGAGTTGCCTCCGACGAAGAAGAAATTATCGTCATCATTAATTTCGCTTGTGGAAAGACATTCTTTCCAAATAGATTTCAGCTGCGATTTCAGCGAGTCATGAACAGAGTGTCCACTTTCTTGAACAATTAATGAATTCTGTTCAGAAATGACAGGCTTTTCTTCGTTGTATTCACTATTCGAAGAATGATTAGATAAACGACCATCTGCGGTTTCTTCATCTTCTATCAGTTCATCGTTATCTTTTAAAATTTCACGGAAACTGTCAACGATCGAATTCTTCAACTTTTCTGCATCATTACTCCCACCAAAGTCTTGACGAATTCGTATGGTGATCTCAATCGTGGTAAGCATAGCAATATCCACATCCACCTGGATAGGATGCACGCTTGTCGGTGGAAGAGCATCATTTTCAACAGCTACCACCTCTTCGGCCTNGAGGTAGCTGATTGGTTGCGCCATCTTCTAAATCGTACCGACAATTTACATAAACCTCATAAATGATCGCATCGCGATCAAAGCCTTGAAGTGCTAATGCTTCCCTTAGCAAACGGTACGGAACTGTTTCGTATTGTTTTGCTTCTCTAACCGTTTCATCGATACGCATTAAGTAATCATTAATTGTTTCATGCTCAGTTCCGTACCACTTCGAGCCAATCAGAAGATTGTTCAAAAAATTCCCAGCAATCAAATGAGTACGCTTGTCGGAGCGATTTGCAGTCGGTGCACCAATCAAAATTTTCGATTCCTTGCTGAGCTCGTGTACAGCTCTAGCAATGCAAGCGATCATAATCACAAACGGAGTGACGCCTTTCTTTGCACAGCATGAATTCAGTTTCTTGAAAGTTAATATTTGCGGACGGAATATCCTCTGACAACATTTCATGCTGTTGAATGATTTCTCTCGATAAGAGTGAAGTTTTCGCCCATTTGATCCACTAAAAATCGTCGAAATCGAATGCAATTTAGTGCCCACCAATGAAGTTATTTTTGCAGCATATTCGTTAGCAAGCTGTATCAACTGCTCACGATTTCGATTTTGTTCGACTGCATAATGAGCGTAGGTATAGCGCAATGGTCGGTCGTTGAATTTACCTTGATCACTACTCATATACAGTTCGCTCAATTCAGTTTCGATCAATCGTGTCGACCAAGCATCACTTATTATATGACTCAAAAGAAACTTCACCGTGTAGCGTTCAGGTGAACGACTGATCGAACAATAGACCGGACATATGGATTGATTGTCTGGAGAAACCAGCAATGAAACATTCTCCGGGAATTCA